AACCCACAGATCAAAGACAAAGTTCTGATATTAACTGGTAAGGGTCTAACACTGCCAAAGAATACCTATAAAACCTAGAAGGGCCAGAAGCACCCCAGTCTCCCAAGCTGGAGTTGGGGGGAGGCTGAAGGCCTCAGCCATGCCCCCCTGTAATGTCCACATCCAGCCCAGTGATGACCACCAGGCCGCTGCCAGAAGCGCCCTGGCTCCCAAGTTGGGGCAGTGGGGGGGCTGAGAGCCTCAGCCATGGCCCCCCCCAAAGTTGGCATCCAGCCCAGCCATGACTGAACCACTGCCAGAAGCCCCCTGGGGACCCCTACTGGAATAAGGGGGGTGCTGTGGGCCTTGACCACATCCTCATCTCCTTCCACTCTATCTCCCTTCCCTTTCCCATCTCCCCCTCCCCCCAGCTGCTCCACAACAACATCTTAGTATGTAAAAACATAATAATAAATAAATAAATAAAAATAAAAACCCAAATGAACAATATTGGAGACTTGTTCAAGACTTCTATGCAATGAATAAAATTGTAATACCAAATAAATAAATAAATAAAAATAAAAACCCAAATGAACAATATTGGAGACTTGTTCAAGACTTCTATGCAATGAATAAAATTGTAATACCAAATAAATAAATAAATAATCAGCTTTATTGATATATAATTCATATATCATACAATTCACCCATTTAAGGGTCCAATTCATGGCTTTTAGTATATTCACAGATATGTGAAACCATCCCCACAGTCACCTCAAAAACAAACTACATACCCTTTAGCTATCCACCCCCTCCACCCCGACCCCAACCCCTAAGCAACCAATATTCTACTTTTTGTCTCTATAAATTTGCCTACCCTGGAAATTTTATATAAATTGAATCATTTAATATGTGGTCTTTTGTGGCTGGCTTCTCTCAGTATAATGTTTCAAGGCTCATTCACACTGTAGCATATATTAGTACTTCACTCTTTTTTATGTTCAAATTCCCTGGTATGGATATACACATTTTTAAAATTCATTCATCAGTTGATAGCCATTTGGGTTGTTTCCACCCTTTGGCTATTATTAATAATGCTGCTGTAAACATTCATGCACAAGTTTTTACATAGACATATGTTTTCATTTCTTTGGGGTATATAACGAGAAGCATAATTGCTGGGTCATGTGGTAATTCTACTTTAACCATTTGAGGAAGTGCCAGACTGTCTTCCAAAGTGGCTGCACCATTTTCTATGGCCATCAGCAGTGTATGAGACTTCCAATTTCTCTACAGCACTGCCAACACTTGCTACTATGTGACTTTTTGATTTTAATCATCCTAGTGGGTGTGAAGTGGTGCCTGATTGTGGTTTTGATTTAATTTGACTAATGATGTGGAGCATCTTTCATGTGTTTATTGGCCATTTGTATATCTTTTTGGAGAATGTCTATTTAAGTCCTTTGTTCATTTTTAAATCGGCTTGTCTTTTTATTGTTGAGTTGTAATAATTCTTAATATGCTGTAGATACAAGTCCCTTTTCGGGTACATGATTTGCAAATATTTCCTCCCAATTTGTGAGTTGTCTTTTCACTTTCTTGATGGTGTCCTTTGAAGTACAAAAGTTTTTAATTTTGGAGAAGTCCAATTTCTCTGTTTTTTTATTTTGTTGCTCATGCTTCTGGTGTCAAATCTAAGAACACTTTACCAAGTCTAAGGTCAGGAAGATTTACCTTCTATGTTTCCTTCTAAGAATTTTATAGTATTTGCTTTTACATTTAGGTTTTTGATTCATTTCGAGTTAGTTTTATGTATGGTTCGAAGTTAGGGTCTAGCTTCGTTCTGTTACATGTAGATATCCAGTTGTCCCAGTATCATTTGTTAAAAAGACTATTCTCTCCCCATTGAATGGTCTTGGCACCCTTGCTGAAAGTCTGTTGAACATAGACACGTGAGTTTATCTCTGGACTCTTAATTCCATTCCATTGATCTATATGTCTATCCTTATGCCGGTACCACCTGTCTTGGTTACTGTTGTTTTGTAGTAAATTTTGAAATTGGGAAGTACGTGTTCTTATACTTTATTATTCTTTTTCATGATTGTTTTGGCAATTTTATGTCCCTTATGATTCTATATGAGTTTTAGAACCAGCTTGTTAATTTCTATGAAGAAATCAGCCAGTATTCTGATAGGGAATGTGTTGAATCTGTAGATCAATTTGGGGAGTGTATTGCTACCTTATCAATAAGACTTCCAATCCATGAACATGGGATTTTTTTTATTTAGTTATATCTTTAATTTCTTTTAACAATGTTTTGTAGTTTTCAGAGTATAAGCTTGAGCTCCTTTTGTTAAATCTATTTCTATTTTATTCTTTTTAATGCTATTGTAAATGGAATTGCTTTCTTTTTTTTATTTTCAGATTGTTCAATACAAGTGCATAGAAATACAATTGATTTTTGCATATTAACCTTGTATCCTGCAAACTTGCCAAACTAATTTATTAGTTCCAATAGTTTTTTAAGTGGATTCCTTAGGATTTTGTACATATAAGAGATAGTTTTACTTCTTCCTTCCCAATCAGGATGCCTTTTCTTTCTTTTCCTTACCTAATTGTTCTGGCTGGAGCCTCCAGTACAATGTCAATAGAAGTGGCTAGAGTGAACATTACTGTCTTGTTCTGACTTTAGGGGAACAACCATCCAGCCTTTCACAATTAACTATGTTGTTAGCTATAGATTTTTTGCAGACACTCCTTGTCAGGTTGAGAAGTTTCCTTCTATTCCTGGTTTATTGAGTGATTTTTATCATAAAAGGGTGTTGGATTTTGCCGAATGTTTTCCTGAATCTATTGAGATGATCATGTGACCTTTTTTAAAAAAAATTTCATTGATATGATGTATTACATTAATTGATTTTTAAATGTTAAATCAGCCTTGCATTCCTGGGATAAATTCTCCATGATCATGGTATATAAGTCTTTTTATATGTTGCTGGATTCAGTTTTGCTAGTATTTTGTTGAGGATTTCTGCATTCATATAAATAAGAAACATTGGCCTATAGTTTTCTTTTCTTGTGATATATCTGTCTGGTTTTGGTATCAAGGTAATACTGGCCTCATAGAATGAATTGTCAAGTATTTCCTCCTCTTCTATTTTTTGGGAAGAATTTGTATAGAATTGATTTTTTTTTTCTTTAGATGTTTGGTAGAATTCCATGTGAAGTCATCTGGGATTGGGCTTTCTTTGTGGGTAGTTTTTTTGATTACTAATTCAATCTCTACCTGTTATATAGGTCTACTCAGATTGTCTATTTCTTCTTGAGTCAGTTCCAGTAGTTTATCCATTTCATCTAAGTTATCTAATTTACTGGCATACAGTTGTTGGTAGTATTCCTTAATAATCCTTTTTATTTCTGTAAGGGTGGTAGTAATGTCTCCTCTTTCATTTCTGATTCTAGTAATTTGAGTTGTTTCTTTCACTCATCCTCCTTTTTTTGTTTTCTTGTTAATCCAGTTAAAGGTTTGTAAATTTTGTTGATCTTTTCTAAGAGTCAGCTTTTGGTTCTATTGAGTTTTCTCTATTGTTTTTCTATTCTCTATTGAATTAATTTATACTTAAATCTTTATTCTTTCCTTTCTTCTGCTTGCTTTAAGTTTAATTTGCTCCCCCCCCCCACTGTCTTAAGGTGGAAGATTAGGTTATTAATTTGAGATCTTTCTTACCTTTTATTTTTATTTTTATTATTTTGGCAGCTGTCCAATAAGGGGATCCAAACTCTTGAACTTGGTGTTATAACTTCCTTTTTAATATAAGTATTTACAGCTATAAAATTATCTCTAAGCACTGCTTTAGCTATATCCCATCTGTAATGACTTTTATTTCCAGGTAAGCACCATGTGTATCCCCAACTGTGAGAAGATCTGCTAGCTCCCCTAATAAAATCAAGTATTAATCTTTCAATACCTGCATTGTGGGAGAAGTCTATACATGGAGAAGACATCTGGATCTTGTTGCGCCAAATATGTTTCCCCATATTTTCTTTGAGGATATCAAGATTCATTTTGATGGTGCCTAATATATAGATAACTATTGATGGAGCTAGGCAGACATGATCTTGTCTGGGGTGAGACAGACTAGAATCGCTTCCATCCTCTTTCTATTCCCGTAATTCCTCTAGACTTTAGCCAAAAAAATCCATAAAAGCTAAGCAAACAAACAAACGAGCAAAAACACCATTTGGCCACAGGTATAGTTCACAGAGTTCACAGGCTGCAAGGTTGAGCTTTAAAAGTACAGAAAGGCCTGATTTACTTGGGAGGGTGGGGCTAATGATGAGGTTGACAGACTCTTCGGGTCCTTTACCCACAACTGCACTTTAGATTGGGTATTTAGCTCTCCTGTGCAGGGTTTGGGGAGGACCATAGGGCTGCCCTGATCATCATTTCTGTCCCTGGTTGTTAGCCTTGGCAGAGGGTGGCTGCCTTCATGTGTACTGGGACTAAAAGTGTGGGGAGGAAGCACCATTGCACCTGTGTCACCACTCAGGCCACAGTCATTTCTCTTAATTCTGAGATATTGTGGCTCCAGCTTGATCTCTCCCAGGAATCCTGGGCCAGGTGAGGCTGGCAGTAGTGGGCAAGTGGGGAGAGAGCAGGGAGATTCGGACAAGCCGGCAGAGACTGTGCCGGAGGGGCAGAGCCACTGACAGAGAAAGACTTGGGTTTGGATTTTATTTTCAAGACATCAGTAAACAAGATAATGAATTTTTCCTCTAAACATGGAGGGGAATATCTCCAGATTCCTACTGAAATATACTGTCATTGGTGAGGCAGATGTCTTAATCTGCTGACAGGTGTGCTATTTGGAATTAGGCTGAGGGGTTCATTTCTCCTTACCTCCCATCCTCACAGTTACAGGTGACCATGTTGCCAGGGCAGGGCTTGCCAGGACTGAGGGCTGGCTAGCTTCCTGAGCTGCTCTCTGATCTCTGCTTCTCTGCACTGCCTTCTTGCTCAGCTAAGACAGTCACCACTGAAGAGTGCCTGATGAACCCTGTGGGCATGAGCCGCTACGGAGTGGACTCCTCCGCCTCTACCTTTAACCGAAGGGGCTCCTTGTCCTCTTCCTCCTCGCTGTACTTCAAGAGACAGAACTCTGGAGATGGCCATCTTGGGGGAGGCCCTCCCACCACCGCTGGTGGTCCCCGCACCAGCCCCATGTCCTCTGGAGGCCCCTTGGCACCTGGGCTGAGGTCCCCAACCACCAGCCCCAAGAGAAACAGGACCTCCCTTGATGGACACAGATGCGGTAATGTAATGCGTGCACTGGCTTCCCCACGACTTACTCTCCTCTGCCCTTGCCCTGGGAACACTGCATGAGAGGGAGGGGGCATGGCTGTTTAGATGTGGGGCCACTGGGAAATTATAAGTCCCCACAAGCCCCTTCATGGATTTTTCTTGTTCTTGAAGGTAGCCAATCTCAATCCTTGACCATAAGCAAAGAAAATGGTTTATTGGGGTAGTCTGGGCTATAGGAATAAGTAGACTCCAAGGCATGCACTGGCTCAAATACTATAGACGTTTTTGTTCAAGAGTCCAAGGTGGGTGTTCCTAGTTGGCGGGTGCATCTCAACCCAGAGACCCAGGCTCTGTCCACTTTGTGGCTCTGGCACCCCCATAACCTCCACGCACCCAGCATCTGGCAGGTGGGAAGCAAAGGAGGGAGTGGAGACTATGGAGTCAATGGAGAGGACGTACATGCTTCCCTGCAGCCTGGAAGCGATGCACGTCACTTCCACTCACATTCCACGGGCAAGAGTTGGTCACTGTGCCACATTTAACTGTGAGGGTGTCTGGGGGTTTAGGCCAGCTGTGTGCCATGAAAAGGAAGAGCCAGACTTTGGTAAAGAATTGTCTCTTGCATGGTAGGTGACACTTGCAGGGTACAAATACATGGGCAGAAGCAGAGTTAAGCAAAATTTTCACAGTGTTGGTTATAATGCCACTTCTGTCTCACCCACAAGGAAAGCATGTTGGAATGTAGTATACAAAAGTGCTTGCAGGGATGTAGGATTATAGGGCTCGAAGGCCATTCTGGTGGGTATTTTAAACACCGTTTTCAAGCTCCAGTATTTTGTTCATGAATAGAGGCCATGGGG